GGGGGGGTGACGACGTGTGATTGGGGGGTGGGTAGGAAGGTAGGGACGGATGTAGGTTTCTTTGTAGTGCTATTATGTGAATTGCATATGCGACTCTGTGAGAATTGGTGGCGATGACCAAAAAAGTTACTGGGAAAAACTATCATAGTAATTATTAATAGTCGATCAGATTGATTGAAATTGCTCTGGGATATTGTTTGTTTTTGCTTTACATCCTAGGACCTCAAAATGAATGTGAATGGCATTGAACTCTGCTTTGCAATGCTCTTATAAGTTTAGTTAAACTGTAAGTATTTGATTAATTCTGTAATTTAAGTCATGAAACTATTGAAGTACTAATTTTTTTTAAAGTTTCAAGTGACCCTGTTAGCTAATCTAGTGATTCAATCTGCTTTTTTGGTTCATCTTGATTTTAATTCCTCAACTAGTTAAACTGCATTTGCAGGACAGTTTTGAGTTGCAAAAATTGCATACTCACTGGATCCAGCGGGCAGACAGAAAGCAAGGAGAAAGAGATGCTCCAGAATTTTCCAGCTGTGACATATAGTCCATGGCAGCCATCTCAAAATGATTCCTACTTCAAGTCTTTGCCATGTCAGAATTTCTTATCTTTTTAAGTTATAGCTTGAAAGGATATCTGATACAAATGTTTTTTCTGCCATTTACCACCACTTAGTGAGTGGAGGAAATATCTTTTGTTGGTTACTCTTATGTCGAAGACCTCAGACTTTATATATGCTCTAGGAGATTACGAATTATTGTTAGCTCATTGACTAAAAAAAAAGAAGTGAAATTTATGAAAGTTCTGTATATGTCAGTATAAGGACCTTTTGTGGAGAATATTTCATGTGGCTTCCATTTTCAGGTGCTTCTCCCGGCATGGTTGTATATAAGAAGTCGCAACAACGGCCTTATTTGCTTACTCTAAAGGTTCCTTTTCGCTCTGCTCTAGATTATGTTATTTTGCTCCAATGATTGGTCATTTATTTGCTTTCAGATTTCTCCCTTTCCACTTTCAAGCTATAATTAGATGAAGAAAGTAATATTATGGCATATGTACGTGTACTCAGCACTATTCTTTCTTGGTAGCTGTAGTGTGCAACTTTTTACTCTTTCTTAATTGGACGTTGTCCAAGTACAGTGGACAATATAGTCAGATTTCTGCTTTAATAACTGGTCTACTCGAGTATTTTCTCCAGGGAGACTCATTCGTCTCTTGATGCTCTCATGTGCTTTCTGAAGGATAAATGATGATATATTTCAATAAGAGAAATTGAGTCAAAATTTCACGCAGATTGTGCATTCATGCATAGTGGAAGCTTTGTGCTGTTTGTCGTCACTTTGTCCCAAGAAAGTATGATTATGGGCAAATGCTCTTAGTTATCATGCAATTTGCAATATAAGAGCAACTTCTTTATCTTGTCATGATCAATAATTGGTACTTGGGCAAAAAAGCTTCTTCCCTCTATTATGAGTAATTAGTATCATGCTATGATGCTGTCTTGCGAATACTTTAAATCCAATCTAATGTATCCTGTAGAGAAGGAAAAAGGAAAGCCAACAAGAAAGTAGAAATTCTGTGTCAGAGGTTATATAGAAGGAAATCAGTCTGTTAATTGAATAATGACTTGCTTTCTGTTAGACACTTTTTTAGTTAGAGAGATATTTTAGTGAATAGAGGGTTGGATTGAAAGAGCTCTTGGTGGGCTATTTTTGTAAGGAAAACAATGCAATGGAAGTTGAAAGTACAAGTTTCTGATTGGAGTTAGCCTGAAATCTTTTTCAGATTTGGATTGAAGGTCAAGTTTTCGATTTTCCAAGAGAAACTCGAACGAGTTTCTTTAAGAAGAGGCACCCAAGCTAATGATTTTTTTCTGAACTTCCAAATATGCTTTTAATAGGCTCTGTATATCTATGTGAGAAATTGAGAGATATGATACATGTTCGAGATACTTTTTACTTGAATTTTATTTATTTGTTTTTGAGAAAAAAGTTTTGTTATTTTTTCTTTTTTTAAAAGTCTGTGGTGTTGTATGTAGTGTAACTGCTCTTTGGTTAAACTTAGTAATAATTTGATGTTTTGAGATTTTGCCTATGTTTGACGTGAAGGCTACAATACTTGTTTCTGGCTGCAGTTTGATCGTAGATATCATGCTACTGGTCCAAGAAGACAAGCAACCATTTTTTGTACTGATAGGAGGCATCCCCAAGGTCGAAACTCTAAGAAACGTGAAGCTGTGCAGCAGAATGTGGATCTTCCCCCAGTCCTGCCCAAGAAAAAGAAGAAGCCCTATCCCATGCCTCTCAAGAAAATTCAGCAGGCTTCTAGGGCTGATAAGAAGCTAGCAGAAATGGGAATAGAAAAGAAGCTTGAACCCCCTAAAAATGGTTTGCTTGTGCCTGACTTAATTCCGGTGGCTTATGAAGTATTAGATGCTTGGAAACTTTTGATTAAAGGACTTGCACAGCTTCTCCACTATGTTCCTGTCCATGCTTGTAGGTAACTTTTAAGAATGACAGTTTACTGATTTTTGAACCCTGTTTGATTATAAAGTTAATGAGCACATTTTCATTTCTCTATCAACTCACATTCTTAGTTTTTTCCTGCAGTGAATGCTCAGAAATCCATGTTGCTCAAAGTGGTCACGACATTCAGGATTGCCTTGGCACGACCAACAGTAGTCGCAGAAGCTTCCACTCATGGGTGAAGGGTTCGATTAATGATGTGCTAATTCCTATCGAGTCTTACCATATGTATGATCCTTTTGGCACACGCATTAAGCATGAGACACGATTCAACTATGACAGAATTCCTGCAGTTGTAGAACTTTGCATCCAAGCTGGCGTGGATCTGCCGGGATATCCTTCGCGGAGAAGGACTAAACCCATCAGAATGATAGGAAAAAAAGTGATCGACATAGGTGGATTAGTTGAGGAGCATAGACCCTCTGTAGACACAAGTTCAGTAATTATGGACCTTGACACCCATCGGTCTTTTGAACGGTTTGCTCCACCATTGGAGTCAGAGGTGCCACGTATTGCCCAGGAGACAATTGACGCGTATGAGAAAGTGAAATGGGGGGTGACTAGGTTGATGAAGAAGTACACTGTCAAAGCTTGCGGGTACTGTTCAGAGGTCCATGTGGGGCCGTGCGGTCACAATGCTAAGCTCTGTGGCGAATTTAAACACCAATGGAGGGATGGAAAACATGGCTGGCAAGATGCAACAGTGGATGAGGTATTTCCCCCAAATTATGTGTGGCATGTTCGAGATCCAAAAGGAACCCCTTTGAGGAGTGCACTAAAGAGGTTCTATGGGAAGGCTCCAGCTGTGGTTGAAGTTTGTATGCAGGCTGGTGCTCAAATACCTCACAAGTATAAGCCTATGATGAGGCTAGACATTGTGCTTCCGGAGAGTGAAGAGAGTCGCCTAGCCGTGTAAGATTCCTAACTGTTATACAGGGCCTAATGTTTGCAGTGCTTGCTATATTTAGATGTATCTGGACCAAAATAGAACAGTCACGATATTGCTGGATCGGTTGAGTAACTAGGGAGGTTGCATTCTGTGTTTTGCGTTTGTAAAGTGAGGATCATGGCACCCATTTCAACTTGGAATATCAATGTCCACATGATATAATTCATATATTGTCTATGTTTAATCTCCGTTATACGATCAGGCCAAATTTATCCCTCCCGTTATACTATTGGGCCAAATTTACCCCTACAATCAGCAAACTTTTAAAAATACCCCTTGATCTGTTAAGTAATCCAAAATCTCCCAAATTCCTTTTATTTAAATTACTTGTTGTTCTTCTTGGTTCACTATTTTTGAAATAATTGGCATTTACCTGCTTTCTGAATTAGAGGAAACAAATATTAATAATACAACCGAATAAACAAAGTATAGTAAATTGAAAAATCTAAATTAGGTAGCTTTTCTAAATTCTAAAAGTATTTATAATATCCCATTTTTAATGAATTCGTTGCACTAAATGTATGGAGATTTTGCAAGTATTAGTGATTGAAGTTGAAGTTCCTCGGAGACTTTACATTGTCTAATTCAACTTTGCTTTAATTAAATGTCTACACATTGTGCACTTTAAGTTAGTCGATCGTACTCTATATTAACCAGACAATGACAAAATATATTTGAATATACATGTACATAAATGATGATCAGCTGCATATAATACACAATAAGTAGACCCGGTAAATTCTACGGTGTGTATATGATTAAAAATAAATAAAATTTTAAACCAATTTTATTTATTACAAGAAGAGAAATGGGTGCATTGGTAATTAAAAAAAATTATGAATAATTTGTATAGTCTAGTAACTTTAGCATTCACATCAATAGTATTTTTTGAAAATAATGGAGCAAGAAGAATAACAAGTGATTTAATAGAAAAAAATTGGTAGATTTTGGATTACTTAACAGATCAAGGGGTATTTTAAAAAGTTTGCTGATTGTAGGGATAAATTTGGCCCGATAGTATAGCGGTAGGGTTAAATTTGGCCCGATAGTATAACGGTAGGATTAAATTTGGCCCCATAGTATAACGAATGTTAAATGTAGACAATATATGAAAGCAGAGGGGTATATTTGGCCCTTTTCCCATTCAAAAAGGTTCAAATTTGGTAGGACATGCTTTTCTTTTCTAGTTAACAAGTCTTGTAGAAAGAAATTGGTTATGCTAAGAAATTAGAGCACAGTGGTGCAAGTTACCAAGCAGAGCTGCAAATCACATTGACAGTCAACTTGGAAGTTCAAGTTCAACTGTTAGTAAGTACATCTATGAGATTGCTGTCACTAGTGATCTGTATTTATGCCTTGTGGTTAGCTTGTTACAGTGTAAAATTTCTGAATTCATCAAATCAGGTCTTAATCTTTCTATATTTAAACTTCATAGTTCATAAAATCAATATCCAAAATGTCACAAATAGATTTTTGCAATAGCAGCCTATTTTGCAATTGAGCATGGTATTTAGCTATTGAAAAATACACGAGCGCAGAAAGATGGAAAAATTGAATGAAATTGGTCCTCTTCTCCAACAATAATTAGAAATGTGTACATTTCTTTTCTTTCTGTTGGGCACTAGCATCTCAAATTCTTTCCTCTATACATTACAGTGTGTAAAAGCCTCTCGATGGGACAGGATTCACAACAGCAGGATCAGTTCATTTGTACTGCAAAATAAGCTAAGCTATAATTCAACTGCTACACCGTCAAGAGTCTTCCAAGAAACTGTCGAAGAGGTAAAGCGATCCATTCCAAGCATCCGTCCAGCCCGGAGGTGGGTATTGATACAGAAAAGAATTGCTGCCAAGGTATAGTCCTCAGGCAGCAGGAGCATATTCCTGGATGACCGCTGCCAATTTATCTCTATCCTCCCCGGTTTTCGTTCTTATCAAGAATGTCCGTGCGACAACAGCATCATCATTATCACCATCACCCTAAGAAATGTAAGCATACACGCAACCAGTTAATGCAGTTGGAAATAGAACTAAGTTCTTCAAGTTTAAGCATTATTGTTTTAAGTAAATTGGGAAAAAACTTGAAGAATGGTAGTTACAGTGAGCTGAACTGCACATTCTTGAAACAGTCTTTTTCTCCCAACTGTCTAAGCTTTCAAGAACCACGTGAGTTAAATTTCCACTTACAGGGAGTTGTTCAAATTGGCGAGCATTTTCTAAGAATGAGATGGATATTCGTGGTTTAGAAATTTTACCGAGGTATGAAATATTGCAACAATGGAGTTCTTCTGCATGTTTGTTTTAATGCCTGGATATAACAATGCATTAAGCAAAATCTTTCCAACCTGCAACAAGTATAAAATACGCCAAAAAATGTTAGGTGTAATCTTCTTTTCGATTAGTAGAAAGGTTAAGGTGTGATCTAGTTCTCCTGTCTGAAGAGCAAGATTGAAATACTCCTTTCCCAAAGAGTGCAATAGCAAGCAGTTAATTATCCAGCATTCTCTCCCTCAGACATGGAAAAAACACATTCTAAACTCAGGGCCTGTTCAGACACTAGGGTAAAGAAAAGGAGGCAAATGTAGGAGAAATAAGAATCTTGTTCCTTTTATTTGCTTTGTGGCAAGTCAGAGAGAAACAGAAATTGTCTTCTTGACCAATTCCATACGGCCCTTAGAGCCGTGGTAGCATGTGGGCACCTCCTATTCCACTAGATACCTGCTATCTCCCACTAGCAAACGTACCGGTAGTTGCCCACTAAGGCGGTGGCAAATGTTATCTTAGTTATTAGTAACAAAATTAAATAAACTCTGAAGAGAGGGGAAAGCTAAAGGTTAAACTGAACATACTGCTACTGTGATTCCCATTTCACAGTTCTGCCTTTGTAGTTCAACTGACAAATATATGCGTCCCTTCCTACTCAAAGATCCAAAGGGAAAAAAAAGCAGAATAAACTACTAGAGAATAGAAGGATATTATTTCCTTGTAATGGTAGGAACTTACATCATTTCGTATCACAATAGTTGGTTTGGATTCCCGGGTACCTTTGCTAACACCTTCTTTACACTTAAGAGAAAGCTGACCAGTGCCCCTGTCTTTCCATTCATCTTTATCCGCTGGATCAGTTGACTGAGCATATGGAAAAAATAGAGAGGAAGAAATGTCATAACTATAACGTATCAAGCTAGACAACTCAAATTCAACATACTAGTAAAAAAACTCAAACTCAACATAATTTTAACGGTAAAGGTCCAAATATGCCCTCATACTATACGAAATTGAGCACATTTGCCCTTCGTTAATACTTTAGCTCAAATATGCCCTTACCGTCACATAGTTGGTCCATATATGCCCTTAGAGTTACACAGTTGGCCCATATATGCCCTTTTCGAAACAGAATCCACCCAAACTAATTAGCTCTTTCGTTAATTGTATTAAAGTGTATTACAAACACTATTTCCTTTTTATTAGTACTTATTTTTCTTTACCTTTCTCTTTTCTTTTTCTCCCTTATCCTATTTCCTCCATTACTGATGTCTTCTCCATTTTCACTTGACAAAACTCATAAATTCCAATTACTAAGAAAATTCTCCCATAAGAATATTTTTATATATCATATGTTTTTCAATTTTTACTGAACATATATTTAGTTCTAAAAAATTTAACAAAGTAAGATTGAAATAATATTTATGTAACAAAAAATCCGAAAATCCAACAAATTTCAGCAGGTGAAGCACACTGAGCTGAGTCATGTCCACTTAGTTGTATTNAATGGTGATAATAATATGAGAACCTTATCCAAAAAAGGTTGTTATATGAGATCACAGTGAGAGAATGTAGCAATCTGTATAAGCATTTTCTGTAGCATAAGAATGCCCTTTTATACAAAACTTAAAGCAATCTAATGCAAGAAAAAATGCAATCATACATGCAAAACACAAAAGAATACAACTAAGTGGACATGACTCAGTGACTCAGCTCAGTGTGCTTCACTTGCTGAAACTACCCCTGCACATGCCATAGAGCAATGTAACTAGTATTATAGACAATGTTGGCAAGGCTAAAGAATATCTGCTATTCCATGCCTCAAACACGATTGACCACTACACTTCATTGGTCAATTGTTGTCAACATGAGGCATGCATAAGTTACTCCCAGTGGCGAAGCTAGAAAATATTTCAAGGGTGTTCAAACTTGAACAAGAAAAATAAAAATTTTGGAGAGTGAAACTCGAACCCGCGACCATGAGGCCCTCTTGACCACCCTTTGCCACTGAGCTATGATTCTTCATTGTTGTAAGGGTGTTCAATATGTATTACATGCATGTAAATCCAAAATTTTACCTATATACCCAGTGTTAATTTTCCGACAAGGGTGGTCAGTTGACCACCCTTGCTACACTGTAGCTTCGCCCCTGGTTACTCCCCGAACAAACATTGATGAGAGAATCGCAGTTTAAATAAAAACCAAAAGTATTATTCCCTCCATTTCAATTTATGTGAACCTATTTGACTGAGCACGGAGTTTAAGAAATGAAAACTTTTGGAATTTGTGGTCTTAAATCGACCATAACATTTGTGTGGCCGTAAAAGCTTTTTATTAAGGATAAAATGGGAAGTTGAAGTTAAATTCTTTTCAAATTTAAAAAGGGTTCATTTTTTTGAAACGGACTAAAAATGAAATAGGTTCACATAAACTGGAATGGGAGGAAAAAAAGATAGTACATCACAAACAAAATATAGCTGAAGTTCAAAGACCTGAAAAATGGGCAGTAACCATCCAGTAATATGATTACAACACCAAAAAGAACTATACATGATATATTTCTCTCTGAACAGGAGTAAGCACTTGCTATATTACCTTCACATAAAGTTTACATTTGACTTCATGGACTACAGTGACTCCCTTTTCTTCAGTCTTCTTCACAGATGGGCTGCCTGGCTGCTCCACTTCATCTTCTGCATTGCAAATCAATAAACTCCACCAGTTAAGGAGCAAACAAAAAACAAAAATTTCACAATCTTCTGAGGCCGATAATGGAAGAACAAAAAGAATAGTCTCCAGAAAACTTTTCAGGATACAATCTTTTGATTATGTTTCTTCAACTTCGTTAGTCTATACAAAAATTATACAGGGTCAGTCGAGTCCAGACTGTGTATATGAAGGCATTCATTTTTCTTCCTGTTGCACTTCTTTTGCCATGCTATAAGAAAAGGGAAAATAATACCCAGTCCATTTTAAAAGGTTTACTAGGTATGACTTGGGTTAGTCTCTGATTGACCTATTTTCAGCCTTAGAAATACTGAAATATCAGCGCTGGCCCAATATTATTCTCCCATTCATTCTAGTTGCTAGAAATATCTGTTACATCAAGATGACCTTGCAGAGACAAAATTCTGAAACTTAATTGAATTGGAGCAACAAAGAACAGATACTAGTCTCAACTCCAAAGCTCGTGTTCTAAAATTATTTCCCTTCTACTGTCTAGGCTGCTCCAATAGGTGCAACAAGAACATAACAGGTCATCCTTAATTAGAGATGGGGAGAATCGAGTAATACAAAGAAACTCTTCAAGAAGTGCCACACTGCCACTAGTCGACATTATGTTCTGTTCCCAAAGCATTAGGCACTTAAACCTCCACCAACCATGTGGCCGCATGACTCTGTGTCATCACCCAAAGGAATTGACTAATAAATCATCAATAGTCTTGTATATGATATGACAATAAAGTGAATTTGAAACTCTCATTTGNAAAAAAAAAATCCCCACCCACCACCACAATATGTCAAACAGGAAAAGAGACAATTATCTAGAGGACTTAATAATCAAAATAAAATAATGAACACATAATGAGTATCAAGCAACACAAGAGATAAAGTGATAATATAATTTGACCTAGAAAAAATCAACTGAAACATGAAATCTCCAAACCTTACCAGCATCTTGGACATCGTTTGCAGCATCATTTTTCACAGGTACCGAATTTTGGGTTTGTACCGAAGATTGAAGTCCTAAAAAGGATTAGCAAGTTCAGCAGTGAAATTGAAGTACTACAGTCATGTATACATTTAGATAAATCCATTTCATGTGATTAAAAGCTATTTTGACAACAGAAAAAGGTTATATGAGCATGAAAAGACTTGAGTGGAAAACAATATATTAAAATATTGCAAATAATTAATTAATCATAAAAGTAGTTGATGAAGCAGTCACTTCTGCTTTCCCCAATTACATGTTCCACCACACAATATGATTACCTTTGGTCAAGCAAAATAATATAGTTTTTGTGTTCTCATAACTCGAAAGGTTACAACATTTGGTAAATTGACAATAAATTGGTCCATCCCAACCCTTCTTAACAGCTGCATTAGGTTATAATGCATCACGTGCAAGCTCGATCTCTTACTTCACTCTTCAGAAAAATTTAAGATATTAGAAATAGCCCATTCCGAGATGTAATGAGGATTAACATATCCTAAATGACTGGTCCATTTATCATAGAGCTACTGCAGGAAACAGACAACAGAGAAGTGTCACAACTGTGTATTAAATTAAAAATTCCATAAGAAATGACACCACAGTTCAGATTTTTCTTTAATTAACTTCAGCTACGAAACAGCAATGAGCTAATTTGCTCGAAGAACAAGCTAAATACTATAAAGGGAATCCATTTATTATCTGTGCCTACATTGTTATACTAATAAAGATACCAGAACCACTTCATTTAGAAAGGTAACAAAGTAAAGAAACCAGAATTATTCAGAAGAAGAAAAAAGAGAGAAAAAGAAGTAACATAAAGCATCCAGGATAAAGAAGACTTACCAAATGAAAAGGGAGACTTGTTGTTAAAGAGACCTCCTGAGCTCCATGATGCACCAAAACTTGAAGATGAATTAGCCAGACTACCGAAACTTGGAGATGAATTAGCCACAGCCCCAAAACCTGGAGATGAATTAGCCACAGGAACAGCAGGTTTGAGAAAAGATAATCTACCATCATTCTCCTTAGTTTCTGACTCTAGGGACTTCGAAGCAGCTTGGGATCCCAGTGCAGATTTATTCTCTCCATTGGAAGAATTAGCTTTTAGCCAATTCACAACATCACTAAACTTATCCTGCAATTGAATGGCCACAATTGAAAAATCACCAGCAAACGAAGAAACAGCTATCAAGCTCTATGCACGCTCAATTTCTAGGTGTTTTTTTTTAAATTAAAAAAAAATGCTTCGTATTCAAGTAGATGCTATGCTTTTCCAACAAAACCTTGCAGAAATATGTTGGCCTACCCTATCATCAATGAATTAGCAGACATTATTGTATCAATATGGGGAAATACAATAAGCAACACATCCCCAACCAAAGCAATTTATAAAAGTATCTTTGGAGTGTGTGTGTGTGGAGAAACATTCATACTAACTATCTGGAAAAAAAAATTGGAGAGTGGAAATCTGAGATGCCGAAGATACCTTGATAGTTGAAGAATGGTTTAAGTAGTCTTGAACTCCATCTTCCCAAAGTTCATCAGGGTGGTTCTGTAACTGAGTTTGGACCCAACTGCTCACAAAAAACAGTAGTATCCACTAGTTCAATACAGATCTATGTCTGCGAAAGCTTTTTATCTTCCAATGAGACAAGCAACTTGAATGGAGATAAACAAGAAAGAAAACAAAACTTTTCTCATAAAGGAGAAGAACCAGTGAGTTAACAAACATCAAGAAAAACATAGCTTGACATGCTGCTACCATATTTTAACGGAATAGACTAAGACTCTAGGGAAAGAAAGCATTACATCAATTAGATCCGTTTTCCCCAATCCATTCTGTGAAAGCANCATTATTCTTTTGCCCTGAATCTGCTTTGAAACCAGAAAACAAGAGATATAAAAAAGGGTCAGCGCAACTATCCACAAAGATTCTCTTAAGATATACACAACCAGGATGGCCCCAATTTGCTAATTTCCAAAGATGCAAAGTTCAACACCATATCCCCTTGATGCATTGCAAGAATGTAAACAATTTCTTTTGGAAGTAAAATCAAAACTTTGTTTATTCTCCAATCCAAACAAATGGTAACAACTCTAACAAATCAATCAACTACCACTCAATCCCAAGTAATTGGGGTGAACAATACGAATGATCTGTATTTCTGCTCTGTTCAGTCAATTCATTACAATAGTAAATAATGTGTATTTCAAGTAAATGAAGTGGCTGGAAAACCATGACGGCTAAGGTTCAAATCCCAGAGGAGCAAGAAAAGATTATAAGTGATTTATTCCCATATGCCCAGGCCTTGGTCGGCAAAATTACCTAATACCTAGTGGAATAGTCAAGGTGCGCAAGCTGACGCTGATACCACTGTCATATAAAAAACAAAATCTACATAAAACTCAAACCTTTAGAAAATACAAAAAATGCTAGCTTTACACAAATTTAACACACTTTCCTCCTTTACACAGTTGAAAATTAAGAATTTAGAACAACAGGGCAGCTCTAATCAATCAATCAACTAGGGTCACCATTCCAAATTAGTTACTCTCGGCTATATGATTATTCCTATACACCTTCCACTTTGTTCACGACCAGTTCATTCCAATACTAAATAATTCATCATTTAACTAAATCAACAACTCTAAGATCTAAAAAATTCAAGCACTCAGAATATTAACCCAAAAAAAAAAAAACTCCTTTACACACTTGAAAACTAAGAATTTAGCATTTGTATAACAGAGAACAAACTCACTGAGTCGGTAGTGAACGAGTTGGAATCGGACGACGCGAATCGTTTAGTTCCTTTCATGATTTGAGAAAATCAAACATAAAATCGATTTCTGAATACACAGATATTTTAGTTATTGAGAAATGTTTCTCAATTTTTTTTAAAAATTAGGGTTTTTCTTTTTCGAATGAACTGGGGTGGAAGAGGGAAATGGATATTTGGGCCGTGAAATTGGGTTTTGGGGCACTATTGTTATTCAATTTGAATTTGGGAAAAAAAATAAAAAATAGCCAGTTTGGGGCCCGGCCCTATAACGTTTTTAAGTGCAGCTGTTTGGTAATCATTTAACGGCCACTAAAAACTGCTGTAATTTTCACGTGGGACATGTGGTATTGTCTTTTTAGCAATTTCTAATTTCACATACCCCTCATTCCCCAGCCACACCCGAAAGATACTAGTGGGGCCAATCACTTTAAATTAAAAAAATATTTTCCGTTAACTTTTACTTGTGCATTATTGATTTTGTACGCCCTTTAAGCAATAATAAATAAAATATATTTTATCATGATACCAATATTAATTGATATATTGTCTTAATGAGTTTGAAAAATAATTTGGAATGAGTAATTAATGCTAATGACAAAACATGAAAAATAAAAATAAAATTTGTTCCCTTGATATGCGAAAAGTGACAAGTAAAAATAAAAATTTATTTTTATAATACTTGACAACTAAAAGTGAAGGGAGGAAGTACTAAAGACGAGAGTTTACACTAAAGGCATTTCATAAGAAGCACAATAAGCAACCAGGGGCGAAGCTACAGTGTAGCAAGGGTGGTCAACTGACCACCCTTCGTCGGAAAATGTTGAAAAATTAACACTGTGTATATAGGTAAAATTTTGGATTTACATGCATGTAATACATATTGAACACCCTTACAACAATGAAGAATCATAGCTCAGTGGCAAAGGGTGGTCAAGAGTGCCTCATGGTCGTGGGTTCGAGCTTCACTCTCCACAATTTTTATTTTTTTTGTTCAAGTTTGAACACCCTTGAAATATTTTCTAGCTTCGTCACTGTAAGCAACACCAAGACAAATGAATTATAAGCATGCTCTGTCAGACTTCTAAAATCAACTTATTTTTAAAAGTGTTAATTATTTTTGATGGGAAAATAGTTTGAATTAAGCTAATTAATTTGAAAAATACTTTTGAATAACAATTATTGTTTGGTCAGGCTTTTAAAAAATGCTTCTAAATATATTTTTCTCAAAAATATTTTTCAAGTCGGAAAGAATCTACTTTTTCTACTTCTTAAAAACTGTTGTCTTTCTACTCAAAAAAATATTTTTTTTCCTTCTAAAAACAGGATAAACACCTTATACTTTTAGCCCTAAAAAATAAACTTTTGATCAAAAAGAAACTTGACCAAACGCGAATTAAAGTACGGTCACATGCTTAATTAGAAATGAGCTAGGCTTTTGTTAAAATTGTTGAAAGGTACCACTTTTTTCTAGTACTATGTGCAGATAAAAGCACAAGTTCGTACTAAATGTTGAAATTAGGCTTGGTTTACTTAACAGTCTCATATGTGCGACCTATCTTAATTTTCTTTTCCGAATTTCAAATTTTTCCCATTTATTGACGCAAGTGAGACAATGGGAAGACTTGGCGTAATTGGTACATGTGATCAGGAGGTCACAGGTTCGAGCCGTGAAAATAACATTTTACAGAAATGCAGGGTAAGATTGCATACAATAGACTCTTGTGGTCCGACACTTCCCCACAACCCTCGTATAGCGGGAGCTTAGTGCACCAGGATACCTTTTATAGACGCAAGCGGGAGAAAAAAAATCAGATAAGTCGATTCATAATAGAAGAAGGTTCCAGCTTATAAAATATTACTTGACAATAAATAATTACTTACTAAAAGTGTATATGGAGTAACTTACACAGCTTATATCGTGACAGATTATTAGTGAAACCATAAAACAGATAAATAAGAAAATAAAGTTACTGGAGATATCTTTGGGAAGAAATTAGAAACTTAAAAACAAAGTTGATTATTTTGAAATAGATCGAATAATTATTACACCACACACTTTTATGTTCTAAAAAACTCTTTTAACACATGAACTTAATTTATCAAAAGTAAGTATCGTGTGATTTTCATGACAGTTGAGCATATTAGTATGAATAAATATGAGTATTAAAATGGAAGAATTGTTAAATATAAGAATGCGTCAAATTGTTGAAACCGACAAAATAAATGTCATAGGAGAAGAAACTAATGAACTGTTAAGGTGAAGGGGATTACATATCAGATGACAATATTTTAATTAAAGTTAAAAATCAGGAAGTTCACCGAGTGAATTACTCGAACCATGAAATTCAATTGAATTAAGATCTTATGTAAATCGACAATAACAAATTGTTTACTTTTCTATTTCTTTGTTCGGGTTATTATTAACTCATGCTCAGCAGGGGTATACAAACCGAACCGAAAAACTGCACCAAACCGAAAAGTCAAATCAATCCGATTAAAAAATTCGATGAGGTTTGGTTTGATTTGGTTTGGTTTGGTATTGAGTAAAAAACTCGAACCAACTCGACACATAAATATATAATTTTTATATATACGTTTAAGATTTTATATAGAACTTTCTTTAAAAAATGTCTAGAAATATTTAGGATTTTCTTATGAGATGTAATATTTAATAGAATATGAAGTGCTCTATTTTTATTAACTTTAAATAATGTGTTGTATGATCACTTTCTTATTAAGTGTTATTGAAATGCGTCAATCTCTTTGTTGTTCCATGTTCATATGTCAAGATCTATTAAATTCTTATATCTTTTTTCAAATTTGAAGTGGTATTTCGATAATTGAAAATTAAATCGAACATATCATTATTCGGGTATCATATTGATTTTAATATTTAACTATTAAATTCGGTTAACCTTAAAAGTGTACATTAACAAAAAGTTATTGTCAGATAACTAAAAAAATAACTATCATATGCTACTAAGAAAATTCTCCCATAAAAATATTTTAATAGATCATATATTTGTCAATTTTTTTAATTTTAATTAAATATATATTTAATTACTTATAAAAAATTTAACAAAGTAAGACTGACATATTATTCATGTAACAAAAAACCCCGAAAAATTCGATAAAACCGAACCAATCCAAATCGATATAGTTAGTTTGGTTTGGTTTTAATAAAAACCGAACCAACCCGGTCCATGTAAACCACTAATGTCAGTATGGACATGCAACTATTTATCTAAAGTGTGTATTTTCTTTATACTGTTACTGCAAAATATTAAATTAAAAAACGAGTTTAAGTTTGATCTGAGAGTGTAAATATTTTACATTCGTATGCCAGTAACTAAAAAAAATTGTAACTTGCTGAAACGGATTAAATTACAATGAAAGAGTTAAAAATGTTTTTTTGCACCAATGGTGAAAACTTATTTTTTTCATAGAAAATGGCAACTGTACTCTCAGTATTCAGCTACAAATCATCTAATAATTGTTCAAATAAAGAAAATGTTGTCAAATAGAACATTATTTGGCTTATCCAATATGAACAGAGTTTGCTATCCTGCTGATATTTATGTCAAATTCTTTGCACTAAAAATCAAATCCACTCTCTCAATGTAAGGAACAAAATAACACCAGTCTACATCAACCAAAGAAATGGGGATCAAGAGAAGGAATATACTATATTCCATTTTTTATATATAGACAAACATAGAGCTTTTGTTATATTCCTGTGTTTTTATGACAAAAATAAAGTCCAAATATATCTAAAGAAAGCAAAGAGGTTCATGTAAACAAAAACGATAGAGGACAAAAGAAGTGGTTAGCAGCAACTACCAATAAACTTACTTCAAATAAGACTTATTTTCTTTCTCTCTTTTTACATTTGAAGCTCAAACTAATGGCCTCTTCTCTTCATCTGGACTATTTTGTGATGATAAGTTTGCTTCTTTGTGATGATTTCGCCTAGTTGTGTTATCAG